CTATTCTCCTGCTAAGGTGCCACTTGAGTCCATGACTCTCAGCTAAAGAAATACTGAAGGCATTAGGGAATATTTGAGGTAGAAAATGCTATTCTTGCTCCAGGACTTCATTTAAAATAACTATCTTTCCATTTTTCAAAGTTGTGAGGGCTTTATCTTCAGGAATTATTTGCTCAGGAAGAGAGGAAAGAATAAGAAAAAAATCACTCTCTTTTCTCCTTAATGCTTGGGCATTTACAAGTTGTCTTAGATAGATGAACTGGTCTCTTCCCAAGAAAGAAAGCAACATTAAAAAACCCAAGACCATAACAGAAAAAAACAGCACAAGAGAACAATTATAGCAGTAACACAGATTCTGTTTCTATGGAGATGGACATCGAAGAAAAAATATTTATTTAGCTTGGCAGTTTTTAGGCCAGAGTGGGAAAACTGAGAGTTTACAATCAAAGTGAAAAATAGGACAAAATAAGAGTGTCAGCACTATCAGTGATGCAGTAACAGCAGGGGGTCAGCTGCACAGTAGCACAAATTTTCCACAAGTCCTACAGCCCCTCTAGACATACAGCAATGTTTTCAACTCTTCAAGTGTTTCAAGTTGGGAGCAAACCCAGTAGGGCTCCCAAAACCATTGGTTCATTTTCAACCTGCTTTGCTTCTGATTTTAGCAAATACCCACACTTAGAGGAAAAGTTTGTAGCCATGTTTTTAAATAGATTGGAGATCCTGGATAAATGACTTAAAGGAATTCAAAAAAAACCCCAAACCTCCCAACATTTCCTGCTGGTCCTCAAAAATTTTCAGTATCTCCTTTATTGTTAAACCTGAAGTGCATCAGACCTAGGGAAGAAATATTAACAATCTCCTGCCAAACAAAAGCTTTCAGCCTTGGCTCTTGACTGAACCACGTCCCGTGGCTCTTCTCTCCTGCCAAAGGCCATCAAGCAGCACAGCAGAGCAGCAAAGAAATTGGAAACCGAGTGCCAAAAAGTTTCTAGGGCACAAGTGAATGCACTGGACTCCAAAGGCCTCTGGGCAATTATGTAAGAGGAAGAAAAAAGATCCCTAGTGCCAGTGGTATCATGAACCAAACATCAGTCACACCAGCACAGCCATTTCTGTTCCAGAGAGCAGATCAAAGGCTTCAGAAGGAACTCTGGAGCAGAAGGCCTCCCTGAGAAGGACCTGCTGAACTGAGCAAAGCTGTACCTTGGGGGTTTCTTTGCCTCTCCTGCTTTGTGTTTAGATGCAGTATTTGGATACACCCATACCAAAACATCACACTAGTTTTGTTTGAGGGGCTTTGTAACTAGAGATGGATAAAAAGATCAAGGCAGTACTCACCTACTTTGCAGATTACCTACTTGTACTGACAGAAAAAAGAGTCATGGGGACATGGAGAGAAGAGAGATATTCTGACAAGTCCCAGAACATGCCAGCTGACACCCTCCCAGAGCACCAAAGGCTCTAAATTTGGGTAGATTCAAGCAAGCGGGTGCTTGATAGGCAAAGCAAAGCTGTACTTGTACGTGCTGCCAAAGGATGATGTTGGCAACTGGCACTTGGTAAGGAAAAAGCCACATCGCCACACTGTTGACTTGTGAGACAAGTGGGTAGGGATGGTAGAATTCCCTAGGGATCAAATGTATAGGATTAGCGAGAACAGTCATTCTGCTCGATTCAAAAATCCTTATTTTAATGACCAAGAGCTCTGTAAAACTGCAGATGAGTGGCTGATGCCCCAAGATGAACAGTTTAGCATCAGAACTGAGGATGTGCCCAGGAGGTACACCTGTCCTGGAGAGCTGTTAGCTACACCTGAGCAGGGCTCTTCGTGTTCTGCCACAGTGATCAAACCCTTTCCATCTTTCCCTTTGCTTGTTTTACATTGATGAGTCCATCTCTGTTCCAATAAAAGCCATATATCTGAGATCTCTGACTCATTCTGCGTGGGAGTCGCACCGCACATCGGTGATAAGAATAGCAGACATCATGCACCAGAGCAGGGAGAAAACATGGTACCTGATACCTGTCCAGGTGTCCAGAGCTACAGGCATTTCTTTAGAAAATGCTGATCATTACAGTTATTAAAAAATGAGCTACTGTCCAGTGGAAAAAAGAAAACAGGCAAGCCACATGTCTATAGGCACAGAGCTGGAGATGTGAGCTGGCAACACCTTTTCCAGCATTCCCTCACCTCCACCTGCAGACAGGTGAAAAGGAACATTCTTTTTGCTGGTTCCTTCTGCTTTGGCAGAAGAAAGTTGTACATTTTGAGGAAGAAAAAAGATCACTAGCTGGCTGCCCTCCTTCTTGTTATCATGAGCTATGTAAAAAGCAAAGCAAGGAACAAACTCCCCTCCAAAACAGACCTGTGGTTACTGGCACAGTACGTCCTGGAGTGTCTCTGGATTTGGTGTGTGTCTCATGGCCCACTCACACAAACAAAACTTTGGACTTCAAAACAAAGAAGAAACAGCGGTAAATAAAATCAGGGGGGTTACTTGATGTTCCTTTGGTTTTGAGACATCACTTTAAAAAGGACTTAATTTTCAAAAGGGCTCTGGCACTTGTACTTATGGTGGTATATCACATTTGTAACTCAAGGCATTTTAGTACATTTTGGTCCACTTCTTATCTACTCATTCACTTAGCACAGGCTGGTATGATGGAATGTTTAAAAATTGTGCATCCTTTTTGTCCCAGGTCACTTGCTCTTGGAATTACTGTTCTTTGATCCCCCACACCTGGAATAACACCAGTTACCACCTGTAACTTTAGACATAAATGTGTGTGAAAATGGAGTCATCTTAAAATGCCATTGATATATTCCTTTCTCTGCTATCTGGACAGCTTTGGTGGAGTGTGCACCACACAGTATGGAAGAATTGTGTAACAGGAAGCTCAGTAGAATATTTCATATTGTTAAACAAACATGAGCAGTGGAGTTCAGCTCCCTCTCAGCAGTTATATGAACCATTGGCATGAAGTACAGGACAGACAACAGAAGATATCTAGAAATAAACATGGACCCTGTATTCCAAACTTACATATTAACTCTAGGGGACCAGGAGTGTTCTTGCTAACACTGCATAATGCTGCAGGGGAAAATTCCAGAGAGCTTTCAAGATGCAACATTTCATATTGAGGCTTTTTCTTGTCCTGAATTTCAGCTTTCCCCTCCAGCCCTTGACTGCAGTTTTCTGGAGAGTGCTTTAGTGCAACTGAGAGCATCTCAAGAGCTGTTCTAAGTAATCACTTGCCACTGCCACAGTTTTGTGTCACTTCACAGGTATCCAAAAGACTCCTAAACGTGTGTTTCTGCCCCACTGAGTGCTCTCTTAAGATATGAAAGGAGATGGTTCTCTGATATATGACCAATAAAATAATTACAGATGGAATCATTTAACCAGCTCTTTCATGGGTTTTTGTTAGGTTAGACCAGCGCAGGCCTGAAAAATCCACATTGTTCATCATAATTCCCATCATTCCGCAGAAATGTGGGATTTTGCTACAACTACCTGAAAGTAATCCCAATGTCTTATGACATTTCTAACATTGCTTTTCTGCCAACCTGGCTTTCCCTCCACCATCCTTCATGGAAGAGGTATTCACATAACCTTTAATTCCCAAAACAGAGCCTTGTTCCTTTAAACCGCTAACAGGAATGCTGTTCTTTACCTACAAAAATCTCAGGAGCAGACTTGGGAAAATACAAACCTCTTTGGGAACAGCAGCAGCCAGTAGAAATTTTACTGGATCAAGCTGTTCCGTGAGCTCATCTAAGGTTCATGCGGTTATTCCTGGAGAACAGAACGGCCTTTCTGAAACACAAGATGCACTGCCCTGGCATTTTCCTCAGTGAAAGTTGCCTTCAGGTATTTTATGCTTAGAAATGTCAATTGATTTATTTCAGGCATGTTTAAAAGCTTGCTCTCAGGAACAAAGTGAAGTATTTTTTAAATTTACTTTTTCAGATTTCCAGAAAACTGAAAATTGATTTGTTCCTGCTACTTCCATTGGGAGTAAAACAGGGTTACAGCAAAAATACCCATCTGAGGAGAGAAACAGAGTAGAAAAGGGAACCTTAAGGACAAAGCAAAGAGCTGCAAATCAGAACACAACCTTCAGTTGTGTGGGTTGACATCCAGACTCTGGGGAGCTCAATTCATTAAAATAAATCCTAGTGTTCTCCACTGTAGAACTACATCACTTCACACTCAGCGAGGATCCAACCTTATACCTGTTGGGGGTTTTTTGAAGCCTCTCACTGAGTGTTCTAGAAAAATCAGTTCAGTTTTATTCCACGTCCTGGGGCTCTGTGCAAACAGCACAATTCTTCCTGTGCCTGATCTCCTAAGTTACTGACTGACCAATAGGACATCTTCAGAGAGGAGAGTGGGGCTTAATTAAGAGATTACTCTTGGGAGGATGTCAGTACAAATGAGGAATTGCAGAAATTCTGAAATGACAGCCCTTGCACATGTTTACCCATGTGTTTGGCTATTTTCACGGACCCAGGTGAGCAGCAGTACCCACAGAAAACCAGAACATGACCTCACAAATCAGGGGCTCAGATCAGCCCTAGATGTCTAGATGAGCCATCTCATCTTTGTAAAGTGATTTAAAATTAAATCTCTAATTTCAAGTGGACAAAGTCCTATCTGGGTGAGTTGTTACTGTACAATACCAACCTGCTTTGCTTCTGAACAAATACCAGCAAAAAAAAAAGCCTATAGGATTAGCCCTGATGACTTTTTTGTCTGATGCCTTGAACTCCTTGTTTGTCATTTGATAAGGAAATTTACGCAAAACTTTATCTTTTTGGGTGCTGGAAGGTTCGACCTCTTCAGGACGAAAAGGCCCAGAGTAACAACACATAATAAATAACTAATATCAAATTCATTTTTGGCAAGGGCAGCCCAGGTTTTGTAATCTTCTTCAGGCCAAATGGAAATGTACAAATGCCAGCTCGAGGGTTAATATTTTACAGGCACGGCTAGTAAAGGGTATATAAGCACATGCTCTCCTTTCAATCTTCCTAGCAGTTTTGAGCAGTTTTGCTCACATCATAATCCGTAACCATGAAGTGGTTAACGTTAATTTCATTTATTTTCCTCCTAAGTTCTGCCAGATCCAGGAACCTGCACAGAGCTGCACGAGATGCAGGTAAGAAAGGACTAATTAGTTGTCTTGGGAGTCTTTGTTCTATCAATTTAATGCCTTTAATGTAGTTTCACAAGTGAGAGTTGGGTATCTGCAGACAAATGGACAAGAAAGGTCGCCTCAGAGTGCAAGGCCTTTTGCTCTTAGGTGTAAAAGTTGGGTGAATGCTGAACTGTTGTGACAGTGTGGCCCGTGGTGCCCAGAATGTGCAGCACAGCCAGAGTGGCAGAGCATCACTGTTCTCTTTGCTTTCCTTCCTAGACCACAAGAGTCAGATTGCCCATCGCTACAATGACCTGAAGGAAGAGACATTTAAGGCAGTGTAAGTGAATGTTCAGCTTCCATTTTCTGCTTGTTTTTTTGTCTCTGTTGATATTGTACTGAAAAGGGAAACTAAGACACAGTATGAGCTCATGAGGAGTGTGGATGTCTCACTCAAACACTGAGTTAACCTCTTACTGTTACTGTGCAAAGCCTGTGAATATTCTAAGACCTGCACAAGTCATAATGACTTTCTTGCTCTCTGGGAAGAGAACTCCCTGCAAACCTTGGGAAAAACCTCTGTTCCTTATGTGAAAATAAAATAGGCGTGAGGAATACAGGTTTGATATCCTTAGAATGAAGAGAAATTATGCTGGATTGAGACATTGCCAGAAAGACCACAAACAAACCACTAGCCTCAAAAACCAAACCTGCAATTGGTTTTCTGAGGCAGTTCTGTGATTTTTGTTTCAAACTGGATTTGGGAAAGGCAGAGGGCTCTGACAGGAACATAAGTAGTGAGAGAAGGCAGCCTGAAGATTATAATTTGTAACAGTGGCCAAATCCAGTTTAGGTGATGGCATTTATGAATATGCTGGTAAAAGTGGCAGAAAACTCCAATCAACTGTCTTTTCTGGTTTATTCCTAGTCTATTATTCAGGATTCTGGTTCTGGGAAGTAAGGTTAAAAACATGTTCAGAAGGGAGGTGAAAAGAGGAAGGATGTGGGATCTGGCAGGATGCTCTTCCTGGTACCCTTTGTGCATGACATTCAAAAAACAAGTTTAAATCGAAGCACCTTTGAAAATGCTGACTGAGATGTTTCTCAGCTTCATATTCACAACTGTGTTTTGTATTTCAGTGCCATGATCACATTTGCCCAGTACCTGCAGAAGTGTTCCTACGATGGACTGTCTAAGCTGGTGAGGGATATTGTCGATTTGGCACACAAGTGCGTGGCCAACGAGGATGCTCCCGAGTGCACAAAGCCACTGGTAGGCACTGAATCCTTTGATGCTATGTTTCTCCTCGCCCTGTGCAGCTGCCAGGATCCCCCTTGCTGAGGATTTACACCTGAACCTTCCAGGTGTGGCTGCTGTCATTAGCCAGTGCTCAGCTTTTAGTGCTCAAACAAAGAACTTGGTTTTGTCGGGTTCCAAAACTCTGCCTTTCAGAAGTGCCTAAATGATCTGTGGGACCTTATATTGGAGACCAAACACCACACTTTGGCACATTAACTTTAGCATTGCCTGGAAGGAAGTGTTGGCAGTAAGTACAAAATCCCAGCTGTAAAGTACAGGCCTAATTCTAGGTATTAAAGTGACCCAAGTGTGTGGGTCACCTAGACATTGGTTCTCCCTAAAGGCTTCCCGAGTTGCTCATTATGTAGAATATCAAATCTTTCTTTGATTAATCTGAAAATCCCTTTTAGTTGGATTATGAGTAAAAGGAGATCATCATCTTGCACAGAGTATTTTAAATTATAATTAATGTTTTTTCAATAAAGCCTTGGAACAGTTTTGATAGCAGGTCACATAAACTAAAGCTTTATAAGATTCTGTGAAAAACAGTTAGATTATTTTTATTTATGGTCTAAATCTTAAACAGTAAAAACATATTTGCTATTCAACCTGGGTTTTCTTTTGCAGATAAATAGCAAATGCAACCCCCTGTCTGTAAACACTAATTCTGACCCTTGGCCTCTCCCTTACAGCCCACCATTTTCCTGGACAGAATCTGCCAAGTTGACCAGCTCCGTGACTCCTACGGTGACATGGCTGACTGCTGTGGGAAGGCTGATCCCGAGAGAAACCAGTGCTTCCTGTCCTTCAAAGTTCACCAGCCAGACTTCATTCCTCCATACGAGAGACCTGCTGCCGATGTGATTTGCACCCAGTACCAGGACAACCGGGTGGGACTGCTGGGAAAGTAAGGAAAATGACCACTTCTGCTTCCTTACATTTACCACATTTTCTCATTGCATGCAAGCTTTTCCATTCAGAATGGGGGTTAAGGGATCACATTTTATACATCTTGGGTGACTTTTCTTCCCCAAAACCCCTGAAAGCCCACAGCCTTTCAGCATTAATTTACTAACTTAGCTGCTCCAGCTTCCCACTGCCCTTGTTGTAATTGGCAAGAATGAAGAAAGATAACAGTACACAGAATAAAAATTGGCAGTAAAATCTTGGTGAAAGGGCCATAGATGAATTTTTCACAGTGAAAATCAGAATTTTCAAATATTTGGCAATGCATTTTTTAAAAAGCAGATGTACATCAAGCCAGGTGGCAGACAACATCAGGAGTTTACCCTTCCCTCACTGTTACTGAGTCCTGTGGGGTTTAGCAGAGCATTTCTGTAGGTTTTCTGTCAGGAAAGTAGGTTGCATTTCTAAACTGGGAAAAAAAGTTAGAGAAGCTGCATGAGATGTAAGGCTGTTTGCTGTTGTCATTGGAACACGGAACTTAGGTTTTCCTTTTCCTTCTAGTTTTGTCTACACTGTTGCAAGGAGAAACCCCTTCCTGCACGCCCCAGCAATCCTGGGTCTGGCTGCTGAGTATGAAAATGCCCTTAAAAGCTGTTGCCCAGAGAGTGATGTTGGTGCTTGCTTGGATGAAAAGGTACGGAAAATTTGTCTCTATGGATGAACACTAAGCCAGTGAGTGAGAGACAGGCAGGGTTTTGCTGTTCATGCACATCTTGGCATGAGGAACTTGCAGGGGCAGGTCAGGAGTGATCCTGTGCTTTGGATGCAATCAGTTGGATGTGACAATGTGCCCCCTGTCACCACAGGCATCTGTCATCAAGGAGAGAGCCAAGCTGATAGGGGTGCAGCAGCAGCACGGGTGCCGCATCCTCGAGAAGTACGGCGAGAGAACCTTCCAGGCAAAGTAAGTTCAAGTCACTTTTCACCTCTTTATAAAGAGTGGGCCTGTCAGCCTGAGAGTGAGGACGAGTGAAAAGCTCAGCTGTGGGAGTTGCAGAGCAATGAAATTGTCTCTGGAATGAATCCAGGAGATTCATTGTGTTGAATGATGGAATGTCACTCTGAACCAGAGATTCCATTGTGTTTAATCCATATTTGTTTCAAAGCTATGCCCCAATCCAATGCCCACAGCTTTTAATGATGGGCACATCACTAATGAGCAAAGTAGGTTGCTAGTTTGAATCTTAAGGCAATGAAAAAGTCAAATTTGGCAGAACCACAGTTGTTAAAAGATTAAGAAAAGCTTTTACAAATAAGAAGTGGATCCCCTGCTTGAGCACAGAGAACTGCTTCTGTGACCAGCTCGATACACTAACATTGGCTAGGATTACCTTGCAGATGTAGTCAGCTTTGATATAAAGGTTTAATCCATCCATGCCAAGTAATCTGGAGTGCTTTCCAATCACTCAAGAGTGGTGGGAAATTCTAGGGTGTGATTCTTACATAGGCAAGAACCACCAGAAACCTGTTTCTTTCTGGCTATTTTAAAGGAGCTCTGGTTTACTGGTGCAGCTGTCAATGCCTTTTTTTTAGCCACCCGAAATTAGATTAGAAGAATGAATATTTCATTGGAACAATCCACTTGCAAAGTTTCTGTTCCCCACACTGCTTTAAAACAAGGGTATATTTCTCCTTTTCTACCCAGCAAACTTGCTCGCTTAAGCCAGAAATACCCCAAGTCTCCATTTGCAGAAGTCGTCAAGATGGTCCACGATGTGAAGGATGTCTACAAAGAGTGCTGCGAAGGGGACATGGTCGAGTGTGTGGATGACTGGGTAAGCTCACTAGTTCAGGCAAATGCTTACATACTTGAAAAATGTTCAGAAAGATAATAAGTTGTGCAGGCATTCACAGTGCAGGGAACTCACACTTGTACTCAACGCTGCTGGAAGGTTCCTCAGGCACTGAAAAACTCAGGGTCAGCTCAGCTGTTACTGGAAGTAGGTTTTTGGCCCAGTTCTGGATCTAGCTCTTAAGGATCACGAGGGCAAGGAGCTGTTGCTTGCAGCAAACGTGTTTGGCTGAAATCAAAACATTTATCAGGGAGGTTGTTTGGTGGTATTTACTCCTTTAAATCAACCATAAGCAAAAGAAAAGGCAGCAGAGGCAAAAGGGCCACAGTTTTTTTTCCTGTCCTGTCAAGTACACTGCCATTAATCCAGCTTTCCTGTAGTGCCACTGAATACTAGAGAACAGATTAATAAATCTGTGCAATAGTGACATGATTTCACTATATCCTGGCTGACTGAAACGGGCCCACTTGAACCAGGTGGGGTCCAGTGCTCTGGGGTTTTATCATGTTTTGTCCTCTGCCAGAGCTGGGCATCTGACAGGACTGACAAGATCCATCAGGCATTCTTGTGCCAGAGCACTCAGTGACTTGCCTTGGCTTTCCAGAGTTTGGAGTCTCAGAGTTTCTAGGATCAGGGATGGAACCATTCACCCGGAGCCTGTGAACATCGTGTTCAGCGTAAACAGGACATGCTCATCCCTCTTGTACAGAGACAGCATTTCTTTAGGAAAGTGCTAAGTAAATAAGTGACCTGAATGAAAATGGAAGAGTCCAAAACAGAGAGAGGAGATTGATTAATTAATCTGTCTTTAAATTATTATTTTATAACTTGTCTGATACTATGTTTTAATTTTACAGTCAGAGCTCGTGAAGTCTTTGTGCTCTAAACAAGATGTTTTCTCAAGTAAACTCAAACCCTGCTGCGAGAAGCCAGTTGTGGAACGGACCAAGTGCATCATGGAAGCAGATTTTGATGAAAAGCCTGACAATCTTCCTTCACTGGTTGAAAAATACATTCAGGATAAGGAAGTGTGTAAAAGCTATGAGGCAGGCCACGATGCATTCCTGTCAGAGTAAGTAGTGCCAAGAGCATTCCAAGCTCATTGTCCACCCGAGTGGATCTCAGCTGAGGAACTCTCCCTGTCATTACTGTGTCATGCTTGATGAAAGCACCCCGTTGTTCAGGAGCTCTAATTCTGTCTGCTCGTGTGCCTTGCAGGTTTGTCTATGAATATTCACGGAGACACCCTGAGCTCTCCACAACAGTGATTCTGAGGGTTGCTAAGGGATATGAAACACTCCTGGATAAGTGCTGCAAGACAGACAACCCTGCTGAGTGCTACGCAAACGCTGTAAGTGCAAAAAGCTTTATTTGCAGATTACTAGAATGCTCACTTGGTACCTGCCATGGAACACTGGGGTTGAGAAGCTCCTATGGAAGAGCAGACAGAAAGCTTTGGAGTGTCTCATCCCAGGGGAAGTTAAGTGCTCTGATAGGACATGAAGCAGACCAGGGCCAATGGCAAGAACCCAGGGTTTTTCTCAAATCACAGCATGATACCTCTGTCTCTCAAAAGTGATTCTACTTGTCATGAAGGCAACAATTGATAGCTGAATTATTCTATGGGCTCCGTGGCCTTTACTGCTTATACATGGCTGCTCATGGATTGTGATGGGAATATGCAGGGCCAACTCACATAGAGACACCTAAACTTAGGTCTCCTAATCTTCAACTCAATCACACACAAGACACAGCACAAGTTGAGTCCCTGACAACTTTGGCTAACACATAGAAAGAGTTCCCCTCATGGCTGATAATCCTGTACTTGAAACATGTTACCTTGACTTAAATGAGCATAAAACCCCACTGCTTAGAAAGTGAGTCCAACAGATGATTAATGTAAATTAAATTTCAAAAATGTGTCTGCCGCCTTTAAGGGAATTTCTGTTAGAACTTAAGACCCCTAAGGGAATCAAGTCCCGCCTACACTATCCTGGCTATGCAGAAGTGATCAACCATGCAAAATGAGTATTTTGTAGTTAATAAGGTTTAGAAGAGGTGTTTGTATGACTTTTACCAACAAGTCCTGCTCTAATGTTACTAATATATTTGTGCTTGTTTGCAGGAAGAGGAACTGAACAAGCACATCAAGGAAACTCAGGAGCTTGTGAAGACAAACTGTGACCTTTACAATACCCATGGCGAGGCAGACTTCCTTAAAGGGTGAGGGCTTCCTGATAAATATTCTGGAGTGGAATCAACTATGCTGGCTACTTTGGGCAAATTGATTTGTCTTCAGAGGTTAGCTCTGCTCACATTTGAAGAATGCTCTACTGACAGTCATTTTGATTTGACTTTGTCAGAATTCTGGTCCGCTACACTAAGAAAATGCCCCAAGTATCAACGGACACCTTGCTTGAAATTGGGAAGAAAATGACAGCTGTGGGCACCAAGTGCTGCAGTCTGCCCGAGGAGAAGCGCCTGTCTTGTTCTGAGCACTACGTGAGTACATGGATTTATTCTTCTCCCTTCTCTTGGAGATTTCAGTTCTCAAAAATACTGAGTTCTGGTGAGAGAGCAAATGCAAAGTGATTTTTCATCAACACCACGCTAAGCATCTACCTAACAGAATTCCAAGTCTGTTCATTTTTCATGCATGTGAGAACCTCAATAGCTGTCTGATGGTAGCTTAGGAAAATTTTACCTAAACTTTGCTCTCCCTCAGAAAGCAAAAGTACATTCATAAAATCATAGAATCATGAGTCACAAAATATGAACCCATAGAATGGCCTAGGTTGAAAGGAACCTTAAAGATCATCGAGTTCCAGCCCCCTGCCATGGGCAGGAACATCTTCCACTGGACCATGTTGCTCAGAGCTCTGTGATTGAATCTGTGGCAGGTTGTATTTGGAAGAGCTAAATAGTTTCTTAAAAACCCCAGACTTAGTGGTTGTAGCCCAATGCCCAGACTGTTTGCAGATGAGAAGAGCCCAACTCCAGGAATATCTAGTTATTTTAAAATTTAAACCAATGCCATTTCCCAGCAGGTGTTAGATCCGACAGCTTCCACTTTCAGTGATGCTATTGTGACACAAACATCCCCTAGTTGTTCTGTTTCTGGGGAAAGTGTAACTCACTTTTGTCCTTTTCTTTTCAGCTGAGCATCGTGATTGAAAAAATGTGCAAGAAGCAGGAGAGCACACCCATAAATGACCAGGTTACACACTGCTGCAACGAGCTGTACTCTTACAAGAGACCATGTTTCACTGCCATGGGCGTAGACACCAAATATGTGCCTCCCCCGTTTGACCCAATGATGTTCAATTTTGATGACAAGCTGTGCAGCGCTCCTGCTGCCGAGCGGGAAGAAGGCCAGCTGAAGTAAGCTCCAAGAAATACCTTGTAGGAAAACTTGGGAAGCGTAGCTCTTTGCGGGGGTGCAGAAGGAAGCTACAAACACACTGGGGCTCCCCTAGTGGCAGAGGAAAGCAGATGGAACTATGTGTTTGCACTGACTGGTCAGTGTGTAACATTGTGCAGTTTGGAAGGGGCGAAATAGGGATTTTTCTTCAAATAAAATCAGTCTCTTAACTGGTGAGTTTCAGGTAGGTCCACTGCCAGGGGAAATCTGAAGATGTACTTAGATAAGACAACATACAGGTCATTTCCTTAAGTTTTTCCCCACCTGTAACTGTGTCAACACAAAACAAGACTGGGAGTTTGGAGTCACCAATAGGCACGGGCTCCTCTAGGCATGACCAAAAAAAACCCCTAAGTGAGCTGTACGTGGTTAGAATGGTGTCTTTTGAAATGGGGCACCCAGCTACAACAGGCAACATTAACTGTGTCTTGTGGCTTTGCTTCCAGATTGCTCGTCAACCTCATCAAGCGCAAGCCCCAGATGACAGAAGACCAAATAAAGACAATTGCTGGGGGTTTCACTTCCATGGTGGACAAGTGCTGCAAGGCAGCAGATATTGACACGTGCCTCGGGGAAGAGGTAATTCCTAGCTTCTTTTAAAAAAAAAAAAAAAAAAACCCCAACACAAAAAAACCCCCAACCCAAAAACACATACAGGAAACTGGAAACTGTGCACTAGGAAAGTAGTTCTGCAGACTGCTCTGGTCACTCATCCGTGTGCCCTTGCAATGCATGTGCAGAGCACAACATATATCTTGGCTGCACAGATTGTAGTCATTAAAGAATTTCACTGGAAAGGTTGTCTAAAGGTAATCTAGTCCAATCACCTGCTCAAAGCACATCTAAATCTTAGGTTAAATAAAGTTCTTCAGGGCCTTGTCAGAGGAGTTGAGTATTTACAAGCTAGAGTTGAAAAAGATCTCTTTAAATTTAAATATCCATTCAATTTAAACTCGACCTCTAGCATATGTAAACTTCTTTTTGTGCTGCAGATCCTTACAGAACTCTGGGATTACCAGTAAAAAGTGCATCTGCATCAATTATCAGAACTGCTTAGCAAATACAGATATATTGTCAGGGGGAGTTCAGCTGATTATGCCACAGGAAAAGTTTTATATGGAGCCATATTGCATTCCCAGGAAGTATAAGTGACAGTTTCCAATAGCACCCCTCATTGTCATGTAAGGCATAGAACTGTACTACTAATATCTTAAACTGCTTATTGATTGAATCATCTTTTATTTATATCCAAGTATTGCATAGGTAAACATAATAGGAAGACTCAGGACAGAATTATTTTGTTTCTAATCCACTCCAAAAGGTTCTTTTCTACCTTGGCAAAACTGAAAGATACCCAGCATCCAGGAGCACATAGATTATAGGGTCAGGAAGTACCATTAGAATTATCCTTTGAACCATACTTCAGGCACAAGTTTAAGTTTATAGCGGTTCCTGCTCTTGATTTCTCTCTCATAACTGTGTGTGTGTTCCTTTTTCTAGGGTGCAGCCCTAATAGTCCAGAGCAGAGCCATATTGGGAATTGGTGCTTAACCCAAGGTAGGTGACAGCAATAATGCACATTAGCTTTGTCTGTCTGCCCCTCGCCGCTCACCCTGCCATCCACCTAACTCCTCTAGCCCCAAAAAGCATCCAGCTTCCCTTTCACCACCACCTTTGCTTTCTCTGATGGGTGCTTACCACCTGCCATTGCACAGGACACAAAAAGTTGAAGTACTACCAGTATGCTGCCATTTTACCAAATACTCCTTTTTGTCTCTCCAATGTAGGTTGCCAGCGGGAAAAATATGAAGAAAAAAATCCCTTCTGTGTAACATCTCCCACCCCTTACCCTTTGTCCTTCAGTACTGAGTGAATATTTCATGAACCTTCTGGTTTTTGTCAAACTACGTGCTTTTCCAGAAACTTTTCAATTCCTTTACTTTGGAAAAAAAAAAGAAAAATAAAAGCTTTGTAAAACTGCATCTGCCCTTGTCTGTTGGTGACTACCATAAGGCAAAGCTCTGCAGTGCTCCCTACACCAAATCGTAGTTCTAAGTAGAATATATGGGCAAGGATTCCATAATCCAGATTTTTGTTTTGTTTATTGCTCTTGGAAAGTTTGTAAGAAAGAATACGAAAGGTGGTAAGACGTTTAGCCAGACTTTAATATTCTGATTCTACTACGGGTTGATTTTAGGCTTTACTTCATTATTCACACATTAATAGAAGGTTCAAAGGTACTGTTTAGTCTAAATAAATTTATTAACAAGGAGCTCTTATTAAAAAAAGGATTATTATTACATCAGCCACAAATTAAGTGTCTCTTCACTTTCAAGGAGTTGCAAACAGTACTGACTTTAAACACTTTTCATGTCTTAACTTGTTTTCCAAAAAAAAATGTAAAATTTTCTCCTGAAAAGCCCACCACCTCGATCATGTCCTTCATTGCAGGAAACTCCCAAGGGAGACATTTCCTGGTTCTATGCCACCAAAGCAGTGTGATTTTCTGGTACATATTTCTTGTCGGTCCATGAACACAACCCCCTCCCAAGTCTTCAACACTTTCACGGGGACTCTTGTAGTGCTAAAAGAGCCCTTTGTGTAACAAGGCATTTCACAAGGGCAGGTTTCTTGGCCTTGAAATCCTTTGTGCCTGGAGTTCCTGAACTGAGAGTGTTCTCCAGGCCATAGGATGAAATATTTAAGGAACTGGCTTGAAAATTGAACAGAAAGACTCATCAATCTTGTTACAGTTGAAAAGTTTGAACATTCAATCCCTTGGAGACAGTTACATGTTGGTTTAGAGAGCTGACGTGACCCCAAGGCATTCACAAACATCAAGATTCCAACTTTTGTGAATTTGAGGAAGAATCATTTGGCAGTTTCAGTTCAGCTTTTCCCCTTAGTTTAAAGGAGCACAAACAGTCCTTTTAAAGACCATTCTCATATTTAATTAATCCAAAAATGCGACAATCATTCCCTGCAGCTAAAACTAACTTACTCTAGGATGGTGAGGCTGTAGTGACATGGGACAAGTTAAACCTGTTGGTGGCAGGGCTTCAGGGAAGATTCTAGGGCACAAAAATCAGCACCAACCACACAAAAAACTTGGGTTTCTCATTAGATTTCCATCTGCTTCTCACACCATTCCACATCACAATTTACGTGCGCCCCTTCCCTTCCTGTCACAACTGGTGTGGCTTTTCAGCTGATCAATTCCAAATGCAAAGCAGGTTAAGGATTCCAGTCAGCTTTAGTAATTGAAAATATGTTTATAATTCATGTGTCTGTCATTTTACTGGCTCCAGAGAGATACAGAATTAACAGATTATTTCTTGGCTGCATTTATAGTTTATTGATGCTGAGAGAGCAATGTGTTACGAGAGTAGAATCAAATCAAATACCAATATACCAAAAATATATTCCCCTGGATCCCACCCCCATTTCTACACTCCATAGGAACTCAGCTATTCCCCTCGTGTGTCACAGTATCTTCCAGCTGCCGTAAAGACAGAGCTCTGCAGCCAAGCTGCAGCACTTGCAGTAGCATCTTAGGCCTCAGTGTTGACGTGGTTTGGAAAATTACTACTCAAGAGCTTTTGGGCCCATGCTGAGCAACAGTGCTCGTATTCCCAGGCTCTCTTTTGGGCTGATATTTTTTGTCCATCTGGGTTGGTTTCTAATGGAGTGACTTTCCTTTTTCCCCTGTAGAGTCAGAGTTGAGGAGGAGGAGGACTAAGCACACCTGCAGCTGTACCCAAACCTGCACAGGTACAGAGTGTTCTTTAACCGCTTCAGGGCTGCCCGATGGATTCCCTGCTCCTTCCTGCAGCCCCGCTCCCTGGGGCAGGCAGAGCCGGTCCCTGCCTCGCCCGCCCGTGCTGAGCCAGCAGGTCCCTGCAGCCCGGCCGTGTCCGTGCTGAGATAACGGGGCCGGGGCCGGGCTGAGATAACTTGTTTGGACACCCGGCCCGGCTCCTCCGGCCACACCGGCCCACCCCGGGGCCACACAGGCCAAGGACAGGCTGGAAATGTCACCCTTTGTACTTTGCCGTGTCCACTTGAGCTGCAGTCGGCCCACGGAGGGATTTGGAACCCAGATAAAAGCAGGGCTGTTCTGCTTAGGAGGTGAAGGGGAGGGTGGGGTGGGGGAGAAAGGTTTCAACCTGAGGAATTTCTTACTTCTGTGCCAGATGCTGTGGGTTCATTTTATGCTCCCACAATCAGTTGGCATCCAGGCTTTGCTCCCCAGCAAAGGGCGTGTTGTGTTGGTAACAAACACGTGGGGCTGCAGCCCCGACAACCAGCACTGCTTTAAAGCTTTCACACCTAAAATTGGGCTGCAGATCCCCCTCCCAACACCGAGAACCCCCCCAGGATCAATCCTTAATTCCTTCCTCCCTCTTAGGGATAATAACTACTTGGTTCCAGAGCCTCCAGAATGACATTTGTTGCACTGAAGGCGCTAAGTGGAAGGGCCTCTCCTGGAAGTGATCCTCACCTAAGGTAAGACAAGGTTATATGCAACGAAGCCATTTCCCTGTGTTGTGAAGGGAAGCATCCCACAGTGCAAAAGCAAACAGTCAATTCTCTTGATCAAGCCCTGCTGGCACCAACGCCACCTCATGAACTAGACTGGGACTTTAGCTCCCAAACAGAGGTATCAGTCCTCCAAGTCCAAATTAGGTATCAATTTTCTCTACTTTTTTTTACTGTCAAACATTTTTGCTACAGAAAAGATGCCCTCCTAGGCAAACCATAGCTGCTAGGGTGTTACTAGAGTGTTTCTTGTGTACTCTGTAGGAGAGGTGTATTTTGCTTTCCATGGTCTTGGAATTAAAAGGAAGAGAAGGAGGAGGGCATGGTGAAAATCTGAGTAGTGAAGCTCATGGGGTACATCTCTGTCCTTTGTCCTCTGACCAAATTGCACTTTAGACAAAACATCCCACACAGAGCAGTCCTCCTGGAACACCTGGCAATTTATTTCCAACGCTGGGGCCACGCCAAGCACCCAGTGTGCTTTCCACCCACATGCCACTGGCACAAAACATCTATCCAGTATGTCCTCAGAAGCCAGAAACAAATGGGATCGAGAGAAGCACGGTGAGAAAAGCAGTGAGGAAAGTTGTTTCATTCTCAGCCAAGTGACTCTGAGGAGCCAAAGGACAGAGGCATTTGCTGCCAGCTTACAGCAGCACGTGGGTGTGTGCAGCCTGGGCACGCTCCCTCTGGTACTGCCAGGGGTTATCCTGTCTCCTGGGCCACACCTTAGGTTTTGAGGTGCAGATTCAGCTACTGTCACACTGTCCGAAGTATCTGAAGGGAAAACCTTCCTCTCTCTTCCATAAGCTCCCAAGGAGACCCTAAAAGCTAAGCAGAAAACCCTGCTGCACCTCAGTAAGCCTCAAGTGGTAACAGTCCAGCCAAAGGAGTGGATTAGGCTGGATCTGACCCAAACTGCTACAGTGTGAGGAAGGTCAGTCCCGTGTATCCAGTAATACTGAATCTGTCCATGTACTTTCTGCACTTTGAAGGACAACGGCAATTTCTTAATGAGGAGCGAGCTCCCCATTGGATCTCATTCCTATTGCTGGCCACACTGCTTTCCAGTTAAGCACTCCACACATTTCCCTCCTGCAAATGAGTGTACACTGGACACAACCTGATTGCCATCCCAAGAGTGGCAAAGGTTTTCCAAGGAAAGTGAAAAGCATTTACCCATCTTGCTGAGCATGGAAAAGGATGCTGGAGACACTGAATTTTGAGGATTTAAATGGGTGTCCCACCCCTGGGAGTGTCGAAGGCCAGGGAGCAACCTGGTGGGGTGGTATGAGCAGAAAGGTGCCTCTGGGTGCCCTACCCACACTGTGAGTGCCCCCCCCTAGGGCCCTGGTCCCTGGCAGGGCTGAGGGGACACTGGTGCCACAGCTCTGGTGGAGTGCACAGAGGGGATCTGTCCTTCTGGATGATCAAGCACCACTGCCACTGCTGGGTACAGGTACAGTGTTGATTTGGAGTCAGATCCAAAGGTGCTTTACAGCTACAGCTGCCAGTTTGCGTGGCTGCAATGGGCAAGACAGAGCCTGCTGTGGTGTCACTGCTCACCTCAGGCTGTGTTTGGAAACGTGCTGGTACCTGCTCACGAGGAAGCTGATCCACAGACTTAGTGCCTGAGGTAAAAAACACTCTCCAGAGTAATCACCCCAACAAATGTATCAGATAGAAACGCGTACTTAGAAATAACCACTGCGATGCCAGCCAAGGTTTCATGTTTTAAACGTTCTGTCTCTCCCTCAAGTCCTCCTGGGAATGTAGGCCAGCACTGCACTGCAGAGATGGTGACACTGTTCCCTCCCACATTTTACAGGATAGCAACTCAGCCAAGCTGAGCTTGTACCATAGAGACTGCCAGGATAATTTGTATATGTCATTAACAAGTGTGACACTAATGCTAATTCTTCATTAGAAGAAAGGGGACAGGGAGGCTGATGTAACACAGGGAGGGATTCCTGGGCTACCGTGAGGACACTGAACACAACTGGGGTGCTCTGGAAAAGAGCAGGTATTGACCTGACGAGGCCTCAGACGGATGTGTGGCAAGAGGTCGGGGGTGGAGCTGGTACCTGAGTCACTGCCCATTCCCACACAAGTAGTCCCGGGGCTGCAGAGAAGAAGGGGGCTCCTGCCTGCTGCTCTCCCTGTCACTGCCCCGTTCCCTGGGAAAGTGCAGCTCTTGTCACTGCAGTGGAAAGGCGGGGAAAAGGCCGGGAGGGAAAGGCAGCCCAGCTCGGGGGTGCCCCTGCCTTCCTTCAGCTGCTGGGAAACGTGGCCGGGGGCCCTCAGAGACACTCGAGCTGAGGAGCTGCACCATTGCCAGAAGGAGTGGGCAGCGACGGGGCGAGGGCAGCTCCTGCGATGCCCAGCGGGAGGAATGAGCTGCGGTGAGCGCGGCCTCGGCTCCGCTGTCCTTATTTCACGGTCTTTGCTGCCATCTCGCGTCCTTTTGCTACGATTGCAGTCCCTGACAGCCTGGACGCGCTCGGGCTTTGTTGTCGCCGGGCAGGCCGCAGAATTTGCAGTGTTGAACCTGTCTCGTCTCGGATGGCTTGTTTCTCAGCCTTGAACGCTGGCTGCTGAGTGGTTCCCTGTCACTTGGAAGCTACGCGTTCTGTCCGTTTGTAAAAGTCACGTCCTTTCCCCACTGCCCCTTCCTTACAAAAGCTACAGCCCTTGTGTAAAGCTTAGCAAAGTCTCAGCAAGGTGAGCCAAAAGGCCAGGTTAGACTCGCCGCTTGGTGTAGCAGAAGCACAGACGTAACTGCGGCCTGAAACAATTCTCTCAGCTGCTTTCTGCAGCACACAACCTTTCACAGCCCCCTTTCAGTCTCTGCCCCCAAATGCTCCTGCAGTCCCTGAGACTGTTGGTTCCACGGTCTGCAGAGAAGCTCCTTTGGCCAGCAGGTAACACGGTTTGGGATCTTGGGGTCTTCTCTGGACCAGCGGGTTCACAGCTGAGCTGCAGTGTCTGTCATTGTGCCCGGTGATGTATCGGCCGAGCTCGGGAGTCAAATCACACAGGGACACCAGCTGTGGGTGCTGAGGCTGATCTAACTTTATTTTACAAAATGGAGGGGTTTATATGCAGATAAGGAAGGTTCTGGAAAAAGGGGATAGGTATATATGAACTTGGACAGGGCATTGGATAGGATTTAAGATTGATAATAGAGGGGATACATGCATCTTCAGGCAACTACTAGGTTCTTAATTGGGAAAACTAACTGCCTCTGACTGGACATTGGCCAGTCAGAGAAACCTACTCTCCCCAGCAAGAGAGAGAGCTCACAATCCAACAAACAGTCTGTATGTCTGATGCTGTCCGGCCTATATTGCCAGAAGCCATTTCTTTCCACCCTCCAAACTCCTCTTCCTCGTCCAGATTACTCCCAACAAGCAGGCAGTCCCGGAAGGCCCAGCCACGCGTGGCAGAGATTCCCAGAGCTGCCACGTGCCCGGCTGTCCCTGAGCCTGCTCTGGGCTGGGCACTGAAACGCTGCCGGGGCCTGTCCCTGCTGTGCAGGTCCCTGGGGCTGCGGGACACGCTGTCACACACCACACACGGCCACTGGGCCCTGCCAGCTCCTGCAGCCTGTGCTTCCCGAGTGCCAGGCGTTTTGGGGGCCGCCTGTCTCTGGGGATGGGCAGGAAACAGATTTCCTGGGACTGGGAGCAACACACGGCCTCGGCAAGGCAAGCAGATGGCCCGGCTTGGGGTCACCGTGTGCAATTCCACCTCCAGGTTTGCTGGACGCAGCAGCAGGTTCTTGTCAGCAGGTTCCCAGTATCCCTGAGCCCCATATCCATCAGCCCAAACGCTGCCCAGCTGCAGCTGTCAGCAGGAGGGTGGATTTCAGCCGCGAGGTGCCCCGTGGCGAGCGGGCAGGAGGCTGCGGTGTCAGCCGGCACGGCCCTCGGGACCCTCCCTGGGCCCGTGGCAGGAAGGGGCAGGTCCTGCTAACGTGGCCCTGCTCCCCCTTGGGCTGCGGGGCTGGGCCGGGGACAAACATCCAGCTCTCTCAGCACGGGCAATAGCGGAAGGAGGCCCCGTGGGCCCCGCTGGAATTAGAGCAGGTGCCCCCTCCGGGACTGACTGGCGGCCCCTCAGTCCCGGGGCTGAGTTTCCTCTCTCTGGGAAGGGCCGGGATTGTGATGGGTCTCTCCTCTTGCTGATTCCTCTGCAGGCTCCGGAGGGGCACCCAGCCCCTGGCAGGGGCCACGCTGGGCTCGTTTCTGCTGCGCTGTGTGGGAAGCTGTGCCTGTCAGAGCCACGGGGACCTGCCTGGAGCCGTGCAGGGGACAGGGACGATCCCTGATGGAGGTAAAGGAGCCCCTTTTGCCTGTGGCTCTGAGCTTCCATCTCAGCTGCTGCAGTGCCCCGTGGGCAGCTGGGCCGGGCTGGAGGGGCACACGTGGTGTGCAGAGCCCCGGCTTTGTCCCATCCCGGTGCAGGCGGCCCCAGTGGGACCTCTCAGCCTGGTGACACGGGCCCTGCCGGGATAAACCCGGCTCCTTGCGGGACCAGGCAGTGCCAGCCCAGCCCCCAGACTGCCCAGTCGCTCCCCATTTCCCAGCTGGGCGCCCTCCCCTCCTTCTCTCCGGCGGGAACAGATCGCTCCCCTGAGTTTTGCTGCCATTCTTTTCACGGAGAGGCTTGGATCCTCCAGGAGGAAGGGGTTTCCCAGCTCGGAACTGTTGCCTGCCAGGGCCTCGCTTCCCACGTCTCCTGCGTGCCAGGGATCCTGCCTTTCCCCTCTCTCCTGGTGCCCCTTGCAGGTGGCCCTGCCACGCTGCCCTGACACAGGGACGCAGTCAGACTGGGGACACTGATGAGGGCTGGGGACACTGCTGAGGGCTGGGACACTGCTGAGGGCTGGGATCACTGATGTGTTTGGGGACACTGATGTGTTTGGGGACACTGATGTGCATGGGGTCACTGATGTGTTTGGGGACACTGATGTGTTTGGGGACACTGATGTGCATGGGGTCACTGATGAGGGCTGGGACACTGATGTGCTTGGGGACACTGCTGAGGGCTGGGATCACTGATGTGCTTGGGGACACTGATGTGTTTGGGGACACTGCTGAGGGCTGGGATCACTGATGTGCTTGGGGACACTGCTGAGGGCTGGGATCACTGATGTGCTTGGGGACACTGCTGAGGGCTGGGATCACTGATGTGCCTGGAGCGCAGGGAAGGGGTAACGCTCCAGTATTACTTTGTTGTGCGCCGGCCAATGAGATTTGTTTTCCCCTGCAGCCCGTGTTTACTTTGGTGTGGGTGGGCCGGGCTGTGTTTCTGTGTCAGTGCCAGCTCCAGCACAGCTGTGGCTGCTGCAGTGCCGGGGCGGGGCCGGTGAGGAGGTGCCGGTGCCGGTAACGAGCAGCAGGTGCAGGGCGGGCGGGGCCCGGAACGAGCAGCAGGTGCCGGGCGGGCCGGGGCGGGGCCGGGGCGGGGCCGGGGCCAGAAAAGCCTCGGCCGTGGCAGGGCCGCTCCTTTCTCAGGTCTGGGCTTCTTTGTGGGGTCTCCGCTCCACGCGGGGGCAGCGGCGGCGGAGCCCGGAGCAGGTGAGGGGCCGCGGGGCCGGGAGCCCTGCCGGGCTTGGGGCCGGAGCCTCCGGGGCGCACAGAGGCGGCCCCGGGCCGAGGCTGTGCCGGGACGGGTCGGGCAGCGGCGGCGGCGGCGGGACCGAGTGCCGGGAGCCGCTCGGGCTGGGCAGGGACGGGCAGCGGCTGCCGCGGCCGCCGGGGCTTGCCCCGGGCGGGGTCTGGGGGCTCCGAGGGGCTTTCTCTCGGGGAGCGGGCGGGAGGTTCCCGTGGGGGGTTCGGGGCTCGCTGCGGCCGGAGGGCTTCGGGGGCGGCGGGGCACGTTGGGCTGGACACAGGCGTGGTGCTCCGTGCCCGGCCGGGCTGTTCCCAGGCAGGGCTCCCTGGGGGGCTGCGGCTCTTTGTGTGTGTGCAGGTGCAATAAACGTGAATAAAGTGCTCCCCCCCGTCTGCCGGCGCGGCCCCACAGAGACACGGGACGGGCCCCTCCTGCACGGAGGGCCCTCCAGCACAGTTCCCAAGCACTTCCCGCCGACTGGACCCGGGCCCTGGGTGGGGGGTGGGCAGCGCTCCCTCCCAGCCCCCAGCATCACATCACATCACACGCGGGGTCCCGGGCAGGGATGCAGAGCGGGGTTGAACTCCAAGTGCTGTGTTTTGGGTGCTTGGAAACGTTGTGAACTGGGGTGGGTTTGGAGCCCAGAAAGGGACTCAGTGCTGCATTTTCCACGGTTGAAAATGGAGACCAAGTCCTGTGTTTTGGGGCCTGAAAGTGGAAGCTAAGTCTTGTGTTTTCATGTTTTGAGAACAGAGACTGAGGGTTGCACTTTTGGGCCTTGAAAACAAGCTCTGGGAAGGATTTGGGGTCCCACCAGCACAGCCCTATGTTTGTGAAACTGCAAAAATGACTAAGTCCCACCTATATGGCCTTGGAAATGCAGGTTAAGTCCTGCAGTTCCTGCCTTTGAAATTTTGGTTAAGTCCCACCTATTCAGCCTTGGAAATGCAGGTTAAGTCCTGCAGTTCCTGCCTTTGAAATTTTGGTTAAGTCCCACAGTTTCCCCTTGAGCTCCAAAAATGACTAAGTCCCACTTATTCAGCCTTGGAAATGCAGGTTAAGTCCTGCAGTTCCTGCCTTTGAAATTTTGGTTAAGTCCCACAGTTTCCCCTTGGAAATGCAGGTTAAGTCCTGCAGTTCCTGCCTTGGAAATTTTGGTTAAGTCCCACAGTTTCCCCTTGGAAATGCAGGTTAAGTCCTGCAGTTTCCCAGCTCTGAGAAAGAAACCCAACTAAGTGCTGTGCTTCTGGGGCTCCAAAGCAGAGGGTGGGCAAGGCTTTTCTGAAGCTCAGAAAAAAACTAAGTCCATCACTTTTCCAACTTGGAAATTTGAGGATTTAGCCTCAGGGTTGCCTTTCTGGGCCTCAGAAAAGTCCCTCAGGGCCTTGTTTTGGAGGCTGGAAGCAGCGGCTCAGCCGGCTGTTTCCAGCCCCCCAAAACAGAGGCCGGGGCTGGGCTGACTTTGGTGGGAGGGCTGGGTGGCATAAGGACCCCCTCCGGAGGAGGGGGTTCCGGGAGGGGGGAGGGCTGGGCATGAGGACCCCCTCCCAGGGAGGGGGTCCGGGGTTGCGTGGACCCCCTCCGGAGGGGGGGGTCCGGTCGCGTTGTTCCCCAAACTCCGGGACGCCGGCATGCACCAGGCCGATTTAAGCGTTCGAGATAGTCTCTGGAGCGAAAGGCACTTCCCAGCCCTTTTTCCAGTCCAACTCTTTATTTGTACAAACACCGGAATAGCTACAATATTGAGACAATTATGACAGCTCATATTCATATACACTCGATGACAGTGAGTGATTTACAACTTGGCCAGAAGCCCAAATCGCTCCAAGCACCTGGAGCTTTAACTGGCTTGCAACAAGAAGCAACATTTAATAAGCCAGAGCTGGAATCCACTGGAGCATCTCGGAGCCAGAGCTGGAACCCACTGGAGCATCTCGGAGCCAGAGCTGGAATCCACTGGAGCATCTCGGAGCCAGAGCTGGAACCAACTGGAGCAGCCATCAACTGGAGCACCTTGGAGCTAGAGCTGGAATGAACTGGAGCATCTCGGAGCCACAGCTGGAATCAATTGGAGCAGCCTGGAAGCACCTGGAGCACTGCACAGCCACAGCTGGAACCTGAAGAAGCTGACTGGGGCATCACCTGAAAGTGAAACAACAGAAGGAATTGCAATCACCTGAGTCTCCAAGCATCCCGAGCAGTAGGACAGGGGAGGGTCCAGCAGCAGGAGCTGTACGAAGCAGGAACACTCTTGTCCAGATTGGCCGGTGGCTGGAACAGCTGCGTGGCTGGAGTGTCCGTGAGCTGGAGCTGGAACAGGCCTGTGTGAGGGAGAGCTGAGCTTACCTGCAGCTGCAGCAGGAAGGAGGGACTGCTGGCAGGGAGATCTGGTGGCTGGAGCTGCGATTGCTGCGCTCTGGACTCCCGGCAGGCGCAGGCAGGGCTGTCCCTGTTCAGGAGCTGGGAGCAGCAGGGAGCACAGCCTCTTCCCTCAGGGATTCAGGTCACAGCACGTGCCCCTCTCTGCGTGGAGGTCTCTCCCGGAGCCGTTCCAAGAGCAGGCGGCAGGAGGGGCCCCCCAGATCTCGCGGGGCAGGTGGGAGCAGCGGCATCTCCTGTGCATCTGCGGAAAGGGAGGCAATGCTCAGTCAGAGCTGCCGGGGCTGGCACAGCCCCAGAACCCACAGGACGTGCCCGTCCCCCCGGCAGGACTGGGGGAGCCCCAGGCTGTGCTGTGTCCCCTGAGAAACGTGTCTGAGCAAGCCCTGGAGCTGAACACGAGCTGAGCCTCAACCCGCCACAGCAAACACACACAGCTGGGCCGGGCCAGCACCAAACAGCAAATGCAGCTGCAGCAAAGCCACGAGGGGTCCAATCCTGCCACAGCCCCCAGCACAGACCCCCCAGCCCGTGTCAAAGCACTCACCCGACACTCCCTCCCGTGTCACCTCTCCCGGGGCTCTGCTGTGTCCTGGCCGGGCTCGTCCTCTCCCGCTGCTGTGCTGAGCCGGGCTGGCCCGGGCAGGGCTGCCGGGAACGAGGCACGGCGAGTTTGGAGACTGCAACAACCGGGAAACCTTTCCGCTGGCTGACCCGCAGGTGGCTGCGGTTGCCCCGTGCTCGGGGGGAGCCCCATCCTCGGGGGCTCTGGCCGGCAGCCCCGGGCAGTTCCCGCGGAGCTCAACCTGTGCAAAGACGGTGGGAAAACACTCGCGTACGCGACACCGAGGGCCGGGCGCGTTCCCCGCCGCGCCGCGCGTCCCTCCGGGAGAGGCCCCGGCCCGGGGGCAGCCGAGCTCCCGGCACAGCCCAGGGGCGGCCGCTCCAGCCCCCCCGGCCGGAGCCGCGGCCGCAGCCGGGACGGCCCGAGCCGAGCTCCGCGCCCTCCGTCCCGCGGGGGCCCGAAGGTCTCGCCGCACACGCGGCCCTGCCGGGCACCGACACCCGGGCTCGCGGCACCCGCAGCCGGCAGCTCGGCCCCTCTCCGCACAGCCCCGGCACTCACCTGCTCCTCCCGGACCCGGCACACCAAAGCTCCCGCCGGGGCCCCACTGGCGCTCGGGAAAAGGGCCGCGGGAACGCAGTGCGCGTGCCCGGGGCGGGGCTGCAGCCGATCGGGAACACCTGCGGTGCAGGGGCTGCAGCGCCGCCTGGTGGGCTCCGAGCGGTGCCGCGGGCGGTGCGAGTCGCGAGGGCGCCGCCTGGCGAGTTCCAACCGGTACTGCAGGGGCGGGAATGGGATCCCAACAGGTACTGCGGCCGGGGGACGTCCCCAAGGCTCTCCCTGTGAAATTCCGCCCGATCCTATTCCTGCTGAGCATAGCCCACCCGTCCTCTACCCCAGCCCAGCGCTGCCCGCGTGCCGCCTGCAGGAGCAGAGCAGCAGAGCCTGACGCACCAGGGAAAAGCCAAGAGCTTCCTCCTGCCCGGGGAAGCTGTTGCTGCACGTGCTGCGAGGGACATGCCTCGTTTCTCCTCTTTGCTGAGGGGCCCTGAGCCAGAGAGCGGACTTGGTCTGGACCATGGAAATAATTGCCCACCCTGTATCCCAAACAGACCCCTTCACCTCCCTGACCTGCAGGGAGAGCACACCCACTCCGTATCAGGTGCTGGCAGGTCACAGTGGCCAAGAGGTGACATGAGAGCTCCAAGGTTGTGTCCTTGGTCTGTCAGGACACATGTGGTGACCACACGTTGCCAAGAACAGACCTCATGTAGCTGCACTTCGGGACTTGTTGGCTGTGAGGCCTGCAGGGCACCCCCTGATCCTTGGTGCCCTGCTATGCCATAAATTAGTTTTTCTAATTTCTAGTTTTTTCGCTGTATTTCTCCCCATGAAATGCAAACATCCAGCAATAAGCTGCATCGCAAAGGGATCTGTGAAACCACAGGACTCTAACGGGGCACTTCCCCAAGTGGGCACTGCCAAGGGAACAGGCAAGGCCTCAGCAGCACAGAGCAGGTCGCTGCTTTGTCACATCCCTCATCTGCCCTGGCATTTCCTCACATTTTACTCCCACTACGGGCCTAAAAATTGGCTCTGGTGATGATAAAAGGTGCTTTTTAACAACTTTAAAGATGCGAGACTTTGTGGCACAACTAAAACCAGGCCCCAGCCAACCCTGTTTGGTTTTAGATCCCATGATGTCCTGCCCTCCCCCTCGGCCCCAGAGAACACAAGTCTACACCATTTACCTCACAAGTCAAGGCCCCAAGGCCTGAATGCTGCGGGCCCCCAGCAGCAGCCCAGGGGATCGAGCTCCTTCGGGCATCTTTGGTGCCAGCAGATCTTGTAGCTGTCGAGGCTGCTCCTCTGAGGACTTTTTGGTAACTCTGGATCTGGGGCTTCTACAGGATCCTGGTTTTTCATTCCAATGTTTCAACTCACACAACTGCACCACTTTTCAGACACTTCCCAACTGCCATTTATCAGGAAATACTACAGCCAAGATGTGCCCTTGTAGGACACAGCAGAGAGCAGCTACCAGGAACTTCACCCAGAGCAGAAGAGCTCCAGATTCCATGACTCAGGTATGCCTGATCTATGAGAACTGTGAGAATAACCCTTTTACCAACCTTTTTGGGTAACTGCTAACAAACACAAGAAGTGACAAAACAGGGACCATCACTTCTGCACCATCAAAAGTAAGCAGCCCTAAAGCGCAAAGCAAGCAATTCCAGTTCATTTTTTTTAAGACAGCTCACAATCCTCCCAGCACCACCACAACATCCACGGAAGCTGTATCCTGGAGCCAGATGCCACAGCCTGGCAGGGTGTGAAATGCCACCTGGGACACCCCTGAGAGAAGTCTGTGTCCTCCCTGGACCACAAACATCCTGAGGTCAGAGAAGCCACCAAAGTCCAACACTTTAAGGTTCATCAGGCTGCGGTACTGTGGGTTCCCACCATCACTGGCCAGGTCAGCACCAATGTTCTTACAAGCTTTCCTGTAAGCCAGGGGTGACAGTGCTCCACAGCACCTGCATGCAAGAGAATTAGGGACATGGATAAATGCTGCAGACATCAGTAGTTTATTGGTATGTTTAGTCAAAACACATTCAGAATGGAAACTTAAAAAGTAAAAATACTTTCCACCTGCAACAATTAAACTAGAATCTACTAGCATATAATGCTTGACACGTTACAGCAATAAAGATGGTAATCCACTGTCTTGAATACCTACTAAAGCCAAGATGGTCAGCCAAGTTTGTTGAAATGGAACCGTAATGACAAAATACTCCCACCATTCACAAATCAGCAACTAACAGTTATGGTCAGTGAATCCCTTCCTTTGTTCTAAGAGATACATTTACTATCGAGAGGGTCGAGAACACGTAAGAGTCCACAGTACAGCAGGTGAGCTATCACCATGTAAACTTCTCTGGATGATGTTCCAAGGGTTCGTGTCACTTAAACAAGAAGCAAGCCAAAAAGCAGAATGGCTCAGTGGCTCTTTATACTACTCTGTTTTTGTTCTTGATTATTTCCAGTGCCATTTACCATACAAATGAATGAGGTGGCAGCAAAACACCACAGCACTACAGAAGGAAAAAAAAAACCTCCAGGCTACACAAACCACACTAGTGGCAAATCGCTAACTGGTAACAGCAATTTGTCCGAGGGCTTCACACCTAAGGAGTGGAGTTGTGTGGCCAGCAGTTCAAGTACTACAGACTTCCAGGTAACAGCTGAAATTGTGAGACCTTCAACAAAAAACCTGAAATATGAAAACGCATCCCGGAAAAAAAAGCGTATGAAAATAGTGCAAGACTTACCATGGAACACAGAAGACCTCAAGTCTGGCAGAGAACAGACAGATGCCACTCCACCTTGCCTAGCGTAACAGAAAACATGTGCAAAATCCTCTAGCTTACTGGAAACTAGCAAATGATTGCATAATCCAGAGACAGATCGCTAGGATGCCCTCTCTGCTTTTGCTCGAAATTGCCATTTTTGTATTTGAGGTTTCCCGTGCTCAGCAGCAGCTTCAAGTGGTCACACTTTCGCACAGACGCACCCCCCCTTTGCTCCTGACACCTCAGAGCCGGCGCCGGCCGCGTGCCCCGACAGAGCCCAGCTGTGCCGTCTGCTCCAGCTGCACGTTGCAGGAATGCGCTCCACGACATTAGCCAGGAACACGGCTCTCCGCTGGAAAACCCACCAGTCAAACTGCAGAAGAGAGACCTCCTCGCTATCCTTCGCTCCAGAGCCACACTGCTGTCAACTTCAGCTGAGAGTTATGTGCAACACGAGTACGAGTTTTTAAAAGTGCAACTGGAAAATGTGAGAACTTAAGAGCTGCTGTTTAGTTCTCTGAAAATTGCAGTATCCCCGTTTTAGAAGCTCACCTTCACAAAGGATGCTCAGGTCTACCTACTAGGAGCTGGCCAGAAGCGTCCACTGTTCTGGACTGACTTCTGCAATTCCTGTCTGAGAGAGACTGCAACTCTGCTTCCTTTAACTCTGACACTGATTAAAGAGAAGAGACAACCTGGAGTCTATTTGGATGCCTTCTTCCTCCCTTCCCCCCCTCTGCAAAAACACAGGTGAACTTGTTAATTGAAGAGCAAGGTGGATGAGCATTTTAGCAATGTTTACTCATTGAAAGATACTGCAATTTTTTTTTAATACAATTTTCCAATAATTTCCTTTAAATGCTTTGCAGCCACTTGGCTTTGCAGCACAGTACTTGATACACTATACTGTACAAAATCACCAGCGAGACTGGAATGATGTATTCATAGAAGGCACCATCATGCTTATTACATTACCAGAGAACTCAAATACAGTCAAGTTTCACTGTACAACGCTTCTCGAAGGGGAAAGGGGAAGGAGGAGTGTGTTGAGCAGCCATCCCTGCACTGAAGAGGGGCAGATAGAAAAATCTGACGTGAGCTATCGAACTTGTTGCGTACTCAGGGTTACGACTCGGAAACTCTGGGTTCTGGTTAGTTTACAGCTAAATGGATTCCTTCTGGAACAAAGGTGTAGTCTCGTTAAGGTTTGTGTGTGTACAGAGGTTGGTCACAGCAAGCAGAGCGGACGCCCGCACCGTTCCCCAAGCTATTCTGTCTGAGTCAGAGGATGAAGGCTTTGCCTCCGATGCCTCCTGCAGCTGTCAGTATAAATGAGTTCAGAGGACCCATTAGTGCATTTTGATGAGTGCGTAAACACGAGTTGGTTTGGAGCCGAGTGTTCTAAGAAGGAAAAAAAAAAGGCAAGCTTCTCCAATTGCACAAATTGCACTATTTGTGTTTCCAACAGTAGTAGGCAGAAATGGCAACACTTACACAAAATGTGCAGCAGAGGGTTTTGGACTGAAAGGACCTGAATTCTACTGGGCGTGTCCTTTAGTTCACTTTTGTTGCAGATAGTTAACCGGTCTTTTTTTCTTCTCTTTTTTTTCAGTCCTCAATTCTCCAAGTCTACATTTATAAATTAACAGTGTGACTCCTGTTGTGAAATTGGGGAAAGAACGTCCACCTCAATTTAAACCGGAAACCAAAGGATGCTTTCACATCAAAGAAATGATCAGAAGGGCTGTGTCACATTCCAAAGCCAAAAAAAATTAACGAGAATGCAAACACGATGGATAATGTACCACTGCCAAGACTGTCTGCCCCCAGTGGAGATT